AGTCTGGTCCCATATTTGCTGCATTCACACAACACACTTAACCTGGTTCCTGAATTAAGCCACCTTCTGGATTTCCAGAAAGCCAGATCACACAATATTCTAAGCAATTCTCCCAATGAATGAAACTTAAAACTAATAAAGTGGGTTGAACTATTTAGGTAAAACTGACTTGTTTATGAATATCGTGTGAATCTGATTAAGGTATAAGCCTTGGTCCCTAAACCAGAATGGCTGGGTTCAACTCCAAATCAAACCAACATGTCCTAGCCTAATGTGTGGACCTTATTATTACCAATCAACTCAACCAAGAGAAATTTTAAGGAAGAAATGCTGCATGGGGGCTCAAAAAATAAAATAAAATTGTCTTGGAGAAGAGAGGATTATGTTTTCAGGGTGATCTCATTTATTAAAACCATCCAAATATGTCACATAATTCATGGCCTCCAATCATGTCACATAAGTCATGGCATCCTCATGCAATGATGCAAATGAGTACATGTCACTCGCCTTGCCCTGACAGCTTTTGCAAATGAGATATTTTTTTTCAAACCAAGAGGAATGACAAGGTGGTCCTCGACTTACAACAGTTCATTTAGTGACCGTTCAAAGTTACGACACTGAAAAAAGTGACTTGTGACTGGTTTTCCCATGACTGTTACAGCATCCCTAGAGTCACGTGATCAGAATTCAGATGCCTGCCAAGTGGTTTCATATTTATGACGGTTGCAGTGATTGCTGGTGTTGCACAATCCCCTTTTGCAAACTTTCACCAAGCAAAATCAATGGGGAAGCCAGGTTCACTTAACAACTGTGTGACTAACTTAATTGCAATGACTCACTTAACAACTGTGGCAAGAAAGTCAATGGGGGGAAGCCAGATTGACTTAAGGGCCATGTTACTAATTTAACAACTCTGGTGATTCATTTAACAACTGTGGCAAGGAAGGTCGTAAAATGGGGCAAAATTCATTGGACAACTGTCTCACTTAAAACCATAAATTTGGGGCTCAATTGTGGTTGTACATCCAGGATTACCTATATAGCATTAATAGGGCGGTTTGTTCACACATTAGATTCAACTATCCTGGGATTGATTTTGTTTTAAGTTCCAAGGCCTACTAAGGCCACTCTCCTCTTGTGGTTTCTGAAGCGTAACTTATGACTTATGCAATACAGGAATCCAGTCAACGGTGGCTTATTTGACAAAGCATTGTTATAGAAACCTGGCTTAGTTTGAATCCAGTCCAAGGACAGACCACATGTGACCTTGTAAATGTTGCTGGGTCTCAAGCTCATTGCCTTCTTCATGTTTTCTGTGTATCTGCACCAGGGTTTCTCAATCATGGTAACTTTAAGATGGATAGAATAGGATAGGATAGGATAGGATAGGATAGGATAGGATAGGATAGGATAGAATAGAATAGAATATAGGAATGGAACAGAATGGTATAGGAATAGGAATAGTAGAGTAGAATTAGAATTAGAATTAGAATTAGAATAGAATAGAATAGAATAGAATAACAGCATTGAAAGGGACCTTGGAGGTCTTCTAGTCCAACCCCCTGCTTGTCCTTAAGGCAGGACAAGAAGCAACAGATGGAAACTCATCAAGGAGAGAAGCAACCTGGAACTAAGGAGAAAATTCCTGACAGTTAGAACAATTAACCAGTGAAACAACCTGGCTCCAGAAGCTGTGAATGCTCCAACACTGGAAGTTTTTAAGAAGAGACTAGACAGCCATTTATCTGAAATGGTATAGGGTTTCCTGCCTGAGCAGGGGGTTGGACTAGATGACCTCCAAGATCCCTTCCAACTTTATTATTATTATCTTGTCTTAACTGCAATGATTCACTTAACAACTCCAGCAAGACAGGTCATAAAATGGAATAAGCTTAGCAACAGAAATGTTGAGCTTATTTGAGGTTGTATTCAAGCCCTGTACAGTAGCTCAATTGCTCCCATTGCAAACCAATGTCCTGAGTAGGATCCACAAAGGAGGATTAGCAACTACTAGTTGCACGTTCTCTGATAAGCTGAAACAGTAAATTTCCCTGCTGTTCCATTACTAAAGCCATAAATATTTGCCAGCCACTGCAGCCATAAAAACAGGACTGGCTGTAAAGTCGTTTGTAAGACACTTGGATGTGATCTACCCAGGGGAAAGCAAAAGCTGATCCAGCCTAAGAAACGTCACGTTTTCAGCAAAATCGAGGACCACAGGTAGTCCTCAACTTACAAGAGTTCATTTAGTGACCGTTCAGTTACAACGGCACTGAAAAAAGTGACATCACGATTTTTCAGTTACCTTTATAGCAGGGGGTCTTCAAACTCGGCCCTTTTATGACTCGTGGACTTCAACTCCCAGAATTCCTCAGCCAGGCCTGGCTGAGGAATTCTGGGAGTTGAAGTCCACGAGTCATAAAAGGGCCGAGTTTGAAGACCCCCTGCTTTATAGCATCCCCATGAACATGTGCTCAAAAATCAGACGCTTGGCAACTGCTTCATACTTATGCCCGTGGCCGTATCTCAAGGTCATGTGATCCCCTTTTGCGACCTTCTCACAAGTAATGTCAACGGGGAAGCTAGATCCACTTAACAACTGGGTTACTTACTTATCAATTGCAATGATTCACTTAACTGTGGAAAGAAAAGTCGTAAAACGGGACAAAAGTCAGGCTGAGGCAGCACTTCCTATTTCAAGTCCAATTTATTCAAAATTGTGTACCTATTTATACACGACACCAGCCATCCGTACACTGTGTCTCTGAAACACACATAACTATGCTAAAAACCAATGTTTTATCCACAAGCAATTTCACGCCTGCTAAACACAGAATCGTAAGGCTGGGTGGGTTCCCAGAGGCCATTTAATCCACCCTCCTGCTCAACAGGAAGCAGACTGAATGGCTGCCCATCAAGCCACTGTCCCGTTTCTGCATGGAGGTATCTATAAAAGATTGGACAGCCCACCACACCCTTAATCAGGTTTAAAAAAAAAAAGTTGGAATCTGACTTCCTGCATCTTAAAGCAGAATCATCTGAAAGAAAATAAATTTTATTTATTTATATTTCATATTTATATTAGCTTTTGGCCTTCCTTTCTTTCTCTTTCCCCTGCTTCAGATACCTGGAGAAGTTTATTGTATTTTTTCATTACCGCTCGTTTGGCAAGCTCTTACAATTTCTCCTAGAATCCAAGAGTTGGAAGGACCTCAAAGGTCATCCAGTCCAGCCCCTTGCATACAGGATTCCCTACCTACAGCATCCCTAACAGGTGACTAGTCAGCCTTTGTGTGAAAAATCTCCAACAAGGAAGAGGAAACCCTATTCCTTTGATTGGCAAGTCTGTTACAAGGTCTTCCTAAATTCCCCTGTGTATCCACATCGGTGTTTCTCAATCTTGGCAATTTGAAAATGAGTGGACTACAACTCCCACAATTCTGGGAACTGGAGTCCACCCATCTTCAAGTTGCCAAGGCTGAAGATACAGAATAACAGAATTGCAAAGGATCTTGGAGATCTTCTAGAATTCTAGACCAATCCCCTGTTCAGGCAGAGACTTTTATTTACATCCTTGACGCTTCATCTCATGAGTTCTAGGAACTTGGCAAGATTTTAGGGAAGGGGCAGAGAAACGAAACAACAAAGCGATGGCATTTGGAAAAAAAAAAAAAAAAGGAACTGACCTACAAAAATGGGAAGTTAGGACTCAATCCCTGTTTGACATCAAAGCACAACTCCACAGTTGTTTTCACACACCGCACCAAGTCCCACTGTGATTTTCCACACATGGCTTAGCGGGAAGGGTAAACCCAGCCAGCATGGCTTGTAAACCACAGTTTAGCATTAGTGCAAAGGACCAGCCCAGCCCAAGCAAGCATAAGATGGGTCCTTTGAAAGTTTCTACTCCTATCCGACAATTAACCAGTGGAACAGCTCGCCACCAGAAGTTGTGGGTCCTTCATTACGCAGGTTTTCAAGAAGAGACTGGATAGTCACTTATCCAGAGTGGTATAGCTTCTCCTCCTCAGCAGGGGGCTGGACTAGAAGACCTCCAAGGTCCCTTCCAGCTCCTATTCTGATTCATCTGGCTTCAGACTTCTGCTGTTTGCTTTGCCCTTATTTTTTTTCATTCAAGATTCTAGTCCCTGTGGCAAAGGGGGGGGGCTGCTCGGCCAGAAGAAACCAGGAACTTATTGGAATGAGGCTGCTTCAGAAAGAGGTTGGGGCTAGTTCCAACAAGTTCCTCCTAGCCAAACAGGCCCCCCCTCCCACTTTGCCACAGGGACTAGAGCCTTGAATGAAAAGGGAAGGGCGAAGAAAACGGGCAGCTAAAGAGGGGGCTTTCATCTCCCTTTAAATAAAGAAGACGAGGTCCCTTTGGGAAGCTCTCCCCAAATCCTGTTTATTTCTCTTTCCCCCCCCCCACCCCCACGCCGCTTTTCTTTTTAGCCTCAACTCTACACACCTGCAAGCTGCAAATCTCAGCCTCTTCGCCAGGAAACCAAAAGCGGCTTCTCTGCAATCCAGGATGGCCCGCGGTTTTGCAAGCCGCAATTGCACGCGCCCCCCACCCCACCCCATCCCGGAGCAGCGACACCCCAAAAGAAGCCAACGGAAGGAGGGAACGAAAACCCCCCTCCCATGGCTGCAAGGTTCAAACCCCAAGAAAATCAAGCAGAGGAGGAGAGAAAGAAAAAGAAAAACGGGGGGGGGGTGAGAGAGGGAGGGTCTCCCATGCCCCACGGGGGGGGATCCTTGCACCCCGATCTGTCTGCGAGAGCTGGAAATGCACGCCTGGATCCAGTCCGCCCCCCCCCCACACACACACACAACCCAGCTGAGCGCGGCAGCCTCCCGCTAAACAAGCTTTAAATCCGCGTCTTCTGCAACGGGGAACGGCGGAGGGAGAAGTCTGGCTTTGCAAGAGGTCGCCCGCGGTCGCCGCTTGCTGCGAGACTCCCCAGAAAATATTCACACACTCACACAGCACAACTCACCTCGTTCCCAGCAGCCGCTCTCCGGCTCCGCTCCACACACAGCCGCCCGCCCCCGCAACTCTGGATTTTTAAAGGGGAGGGGCTTGGCTCAGGGGGAGGGGCGACAGCCCGCGCTTGCGCTTCCCTATCCACGGAGGTGGGGGGGGGGGAGGAAAGGAATAGTTGGTGCCTTTGGATCTATATGAGTTTTTAGAGTAGAGTTGGAAGGGGCCTTGGAGGTCATCTAGTCCAACCCCCTGCTCAGGCAGGAAACCCTGTACTATTTCAGAGAAAGGGCTGTCCAGTCTCTTCTTAAAAACTTCCAGTGTTGGAGCAGTCACCGCTTCTGGAAGCAGGTGGTTCCACTGGTGAATTGTTCTCGCTGTCAGGAAGTGTCTCCTTAGTTCCAGGTTGCTTCTCTCCTTGATGAGTTCCCATCCATTGCTACTTAATAATAAAGTTGGAAGAGACCTTGGAGGTCATCTAGTCCAACCCCCTGCTCAGGCAGGAAACCCTATACCATTTCAGACAAATGGCTGTCCAGTTTCTTCTCAAAAGCTTCCAGGGTTGGAGCATTCACCGCTTCTGGAGGCGGGTTGTTCCACTGGTTAATTGTTCTAACTGTCAGGAAGTTTCTCCTTAGTTGCAGGTTGCTTCTCTCCTTGATGAGTTTCCATCTGTTGCTTCTTCTCCTGCCTTCTGGCGCTTTGGAGAAGAGGCTGACATCCCTCTTCTTCTTTGGGGCAGCCCCTCAAATGTCGGAAGGCAGCTATCCTGTCACCCCTGGCCCTTCTTTTCTATTAAGCTGCAGAGGTAGACGGTGATTAGGATCGGTCCCTCAAGTCGAAGAAACCTCGTGCGTTATGTGTTGTTGGGTGGAGCTATCTCTCAGGAATTGCATGTGGATTTAAACGCTTTCAGCTCCAGGGATGGTTGGTGTTTTTGCTGCTGTCCTGACTTGCAAGTTGGAGCTACTACAGAAGAGAATCTCCCCAATAATACCAACAGCATTTAGACTTACATACCGCTTCACAGGGCTCTTACAGCCCTCCCTAAGCAGTTTTCAGAGTCAACCCATTTGCCCCCAACAATCTGGGTCCTCATTTTACCGACCTTGGATGGGAGGAAGGAAGGAAGGAAGGGAGGGAAGGAGGGAGGGAGGGAGGGAGGGAGGAAGAAAAAAGAAAGAGAAAGAAAGAGCAATGGCACTTATATACCGCTTCATAGTGCTTTTACAGCCCTCTCTAAGCGGTTTACAGTCAGCATTCAGCCCCCAACAATCTGGGTCCTCATTTTAACCACCTTGGAAGGGAGGGAGAGAGAGAGAGAGAGAGAAAGAAAGAAAGAAAGAAAGAAAGAAAGAAAGAAAGAAAGAAAGAAAGAAAGAAAGAAAAAAAGAAAGAAAGAGCAATAGCACTTATGTACCACTTTATAGTGCTTTTACAGCCCTCTATAAGTGGTTTATAGAGTCAGCATCTTGCCCCCCCCCCAACAATCTGGATCCTCATTTTAACCACCTTGGAAGGAAGGGAGGGAGGGAGGGAGGGAGGGAGGGAAAAAGAAAGGAAAGGAAAGAAGGAAGGAAGAAAGAAAGAAAGAAAGAAAGAAAGAAAGAGAAATAGCAATAGCACTTACATACCGCTTTACAGTGCTTTTACAGCCCTCTCTGAGCAGTTTACAGAGTCCGCCTATTTGCCCCCAACAATCTGGATCCTCCTTTTACTGACTTTGGAAGGAAGGAAGGAAGGAAGGAAGGAAGGAAGGAAGGAAGGAAGGAAGGAAGGAAGGAAGGAAAAAGAAAAAAGAAATAGAAAGAAATAGCAATAGCACTTATAAACCACTTCATAGTGCTTTTACAGCCCTCTCTAAGTGGTTTACAGAGTCAGCATATTTGCCCCCCCAACTATTTGGGTCCTCCTTTTATTAGCTCAAGATTGAAGGTGTGTGTGTGTGTGTGTGTGTGTGTGTGTAGGTCCTTGGTGTTCTCTGAGCTGGGCTATTTTCTTGCAGACGTTTCATGACCCAACTAGGGGACATCATCAGGGCCAGAAGGCAGTGGGATTTGCAGGGAGGAGGAAGAGGAGGGGGAAGAACTGTGGGGTCCTGGGTGCTCTCTGAGCTTTTTTTTTGGATGTTTCATTACCGAAGTCCCCCTTCTAGTGTTCACGCTTAAGGTGGAACTAGAACTCACCGTCTCCTGGTGATTGGCCCAAAGTCCCCCAGCCAGCTTTCACGCCTAAGGTGGAACTAGAACTCACAAGCCTCCTAATGATTGGCCCAAAGTCCCCCAATTGTCTTTAATTGTCATTGCTAGGGTGAGACTAGAACTTACAATCTTCCACTTTCTAGCTTTCTGTGCCTTAACTACTAACCAAAATGGCTCTCTAACTGGAGGATATGGAAAAAATAGCCCCTCTAAATATGTTTAAGATACAGAATAACAGAGTTGGAAGGGACCTTGGAGGTCATCTAGTCCAACCCCCTGCACAAGCAGGAAACCCTATACCATTTCAGACAAATAAGTGTCCAGTCTCTTCTTAAAATCTTCCAGGGTTGGAGCACCCACAACTTCTGGAGGCAGGTTGTTCCACTGGATTAATTGTTCTCCCTGTCGGGAAATTCCTCCTTAGTTCCAGAGGTTGCTTCTCTCCTTGATGAATTTCCATCCGTTGCTTCTGGTGTTTTGCAACTCTTTGCAAATATATGATTGCACATCGTGTATAGGTCGCCCTCGACTTACGACCCCAATTGAGCCCAACATTTCTTTCGTTAAGCGAGACACTTGTTAAGTGAGTTTTGCCCCATTTTTACGACCTTTCTCGCCTCAGTTGTGAAGTGAATCACTGCGGTTGATAAGTTAGCAAACCAGCTGTTCAGCGAATCTGGCTTCTCCCATTGACTTTGCTTGTCGCAAAAGGGGATCACATGACCTCGGGACACTGCAACCGTCATAAGTACATGCCAGTTGCTAAGCCTCTGAATTTTGATCCCCCTGATTATGGGGGAGGCTGCAAAGGTCGTAACTGGGAACTTTTTCAATGCCGTTGTAACTTTGAATGGTCACTAAATGTATTGTTGCAAGTCAAGGACCACCAAGAGATCTATAGTAAAAAAATAAAGAGTTAATGAACAGGAAATCCTCATGTCACGTATGGAGGTTAGAAACTAATTAACCTTAGGCCTAATAGCAGTTTTAGTTCCCTGATCTAAAAATGACGCTATTGAAGAAAAGTGTTTTAAATATTCAAATGTGTTGCATAAGAGATTGTGTATATATATATATATATCGATGTGAGAAATCAAGGTGGAATCCCATTGCATAACTTATATGATTTGCCAAACAGTTTCAGGTTAATGTTATGTTGAATTTGCCGTTCTTTGATCTGAAGCACACCAGGAAGTAAAAATTTATCGTGGTTTGAACTGTCATTTCTTATCTCTGGGTTGCACAGGAGACAAACACATCAGTTACCCCGGAGACCTTTCTTTCTTGTTTTAATAGTAACTTGATTAAAAATTACAAAGGAAAAGAGAGAAACAAAAGGAAAAAAATAAAAAGAAAAAAAAAAGAAAGTTGAAAACAAAAAAAAGAAAAGCTGGGAAAGAAAGAAAAAAGAATAGGATAAAGAAACAGAAAAGAAACATGTCAAGGAAGAATTGTTCCCTTCAGCACAAATATAAACAGTTTTAATACTGGATTACCTGCTCTTAAAATAGTGTAGAGAATTTCCCTGTGTATATATGTGTGATTGTATGTCGAGGATTAGCAACTGAGGGTTTTCAAGAAGGAATTCCTTCAAGAAATGGAAGACATTTTCCAGACTGGTTTTTGCTCAAAATTGGAGGAATAAAGGAATTTCAACGGAAGAAGAGATCCTATATAAAATCCTTTCGTGTGCTGAGATGGACAGGCTTACAATGATTATGAAGGACAAGACAGAACTCAAATACTTCGAAATCTGGGACAAATTTTACCGTTGGTATGAATTAAGAAGAACTGCTCAGATCTCAAGTTAATGATAGGATTGAAATATATATATATATATATATATATATATATATATATATATATATATATATATAACTGTATATATAATTGTATATTTAATTGTATTACATAGAAGGATGAGGCTTATATAGAGGTTAAGAATGATGCATTATGTTTTTGTACCACGAGAAACAAACTGTTAGGAATACTTACTCTGGAATGTCACGCTTGTCCATTTTTGTTTTAATTGTATTACAAATAAAAAAACTTTTTAAATAAAAAAAATAAAAATAAAAAAAGAAAGAAAGAAATGGAAGACATTTCATTGCATCGGTTCACAATTGGAAAAGATTTCAGTTCTGGGGTTTCTTTGGGGGGGGGGGAATTGCCAATTGACTGGAAAAAAAAATAATCCAGCCGATTCCTGATACTTTTGAAGAAATCAGCTGGGAAAGATGAACAATAGAAGAGGGAATCAAGCTATTTTCCAAAGCCCCTGAAGGCAGGACAAGAAGCAACGGGTGGAAACTAATCAAGGAGAGAAGCAACTTAGAACTAAGGAGAAACTTCCTGACAGTGGGAACAATTAACCAGTGGAACTACCTGCCTCCAGAAGCGGTGAATGCTCCAACACTGGAAATCTTTAAGAAAAGACTGGACAGCCATTTGTCTGAAATGGTGTAGGGTTTCCTGCCTGAGCAGGGGGTTGGACTAGATGACCTCCAAGGTCCCTTCCAACTTTACTACTATTATTATTATAATAAATACCGTTTTGCTGAAAATCAGCCAACGAAAGAACAAAGAGAAAAGTCGAGAATTTAAAAAGCTGGCAGTGCATAAAGACAATAAAGGACTTTCATATCAGTGCTGTTTGTGTGTTTCCACAATTCCGGGATGAGACACCCTTCCAAGTAAACGCATGGGAGAAGAGAGCAATTATAATGTTCAAATCAGTGAGCATTCTTTATTCATTTTTATAGTTATTTTTCTACAGTAGTGGCCAAAATTGTGGAAACCGTTTGGGAAAAGTGTACAGTAGAAATACCACCTTTGGTTAAGTTTCCGCCCATTTTTCTTCTAATTTCTTTATAACTGTAGCCTCTTTTACT